AGGGCTACCATAGAGGCGTCCACTTCACCCCTAAAAAACAACCTTGCCTCACCTTCACACACATGCACACAACCACAAATACTTTTACTGTATTTAGTGCACATACATGCAAGAAAACCACAAATGTAGAGCCTCCAGAAAAATGCAAAAAATGTGCGTCTATGCTCTAACACATAGCATATGCACATGCACACACATACGAGTCTGTCTCATAATCTGTCTCTGTCGATCCCGGTGGGACGGAGGGAAAAGGATTGGGATAACTGGTCTGGTGTGTGGGGCAATTTTAGCCCTTGACCAAAAAGCAGGAGTTACTTTAAAATAATTTTGTGGCTTTACATACAATTAATCTGTTCTTTATTCTTCTATTTTTTCTCTTACAGAAACTACACTACTTTTTTTGCATTTATTGTGCAGCCTGTTAGAGTGACAATACAGTAATTCCTACTTCCTACTGAAATATATAGGTGGTTAAGCATGTACCTGTAAGATATAACCTTCGACAACATCAAAATACGAGCTGCTATTTAGCTTTAATTCAAAAAGAGGAAAAGTCTGAAGAGCCAGTATGTTTTTGGTTCAATTTGTTAAAAAATAAATGACTTTTTAATCAACTTTAAGTCACATTTTTACACTATTCGGTTATATTTTTGGCATCTTCAACTACATATTTGGCAAAACCTATAAAGTGGAAATAATGAAAGAGAAAGCAGAGCGCCGGGAGCAGTAGAGGCAGACCCAGGACAGAGAAGCCAAAATCAGTAGGAGGACAGAGACAGACCAAATCAGTCTAAAATAGAGTGATAGGGGCATGTGCACATGCACCGATGCACGAAAGGAAAGACAAAGATAGCAAGACTGTGGTGGTATCGGATCATTCGGTGCACATTAGTCGCCTTCTGCAAGACCAGACCAGTCCATATACAGACATGGAAACAGGCACAGAGTCTTCCAGTGTAATTGTGCATGAAAACATTCATTAAGTTTATTATGGCATTCAGTAGAAGTTTAGCAAGCCGCACTGTCGGAGGGAGAGTAGTGAAGCAGATGAGCTGTCAGGGTCTAGAAGAACACATTGTAGATTAGATAGCAACAACTCTCTCCAATAAATATATAGATGGATGTGGTGTGTGTCTTTTAAATCTTGACTTGACCTTAACTCACTATGACACTCGGGCGCTAACCCACTTATCCTATTTTTCCATCATTTCTTTTACCATGTGTGTTTCCTTTCTCTTCTCTGTCTTAGCAACAGGTAAGAGCCCTCTGAAAGAATCAACCAGTCGTTCCTGTGTATGTGCATGCAGTGCTGTGTGTATGTGGGGGCAGTACGTACATCACTGGTGTGTTCATGTGTTAAATGGTAAGAGAAAGAAAAAGAGTGTCTGTACGTGTGCGAGTGTTAAACATTCATGCTGCCGTGTTGGGTCGTGATGGGACCGGTGTGACTGGCTGTCCCTGCCACTGCCCTCATCCGATATATGCTGATTTGCCCTCTGGGGGTCCTTCAGGCACCCAGTCAATCACTAGTACTCCAAAAGATAGTACTCCAAAGCCTATTTAAATCGCAAACTCCCTTACTTTCCCTTTTTTCAATCTTTTACTTATTCTTTTTTGCATCATCAATGCATGCAAAGCGTCATGAGTTGACGCTTTAATCCAAAGAGACTTACAATAAGTGCAATGGATAAGAATGCAAAACAGCAAGAATCCTGCAAGTACAATTGCTTCTCAAAAGCCAAAATATGTGCCTCTTGATGATCATTACAGTCTTAATGTAGCATCCCATTGTCTGGTCTTAGATAGACAAAAAGACGGCATGCAGCCCATTATTTTCCCTACCCACCGCTCAGTTCAAGTTGTCAAATGCCTCATATTGTCGTCATGCAATCAGAGTAAGAGAGGCTCTTCAGATGTATAAAAAACCCCAGAAGAGAACAATTTATGTTAATTACATGGAGATCATCAGAGCCAGTAACACCAATACCCATATCTCTAGGAGAACAGGCGATTTTATTACATACAAGAAGAAGAAATTAATTCTGCAAGAAATGTACAGTAAACTGACCTTGGTAACCATCACTTAACAACACTTCCACTTCCTCCCTCACTTTGCCCATCTCCTCTCCTCTCTTCAGTCCCTCCCTCCCCGAGGCTACCTTTTCCTCTGCCAATTCTCGACATCGTTACCATAATCAGATAAGACAACTACCTAGGGAGCACCAGCCTCCCTACAGCACCTTGCTCCTGGCACCGTGTGTGTACATGCGTGCGTGTGTGTCAGTGTGTGAGAAATGCTCCTGGCACTTGGAAACCCGTATTCCTTTTGACTGTCTTTTTTGGCGTTTTGATCTTTTCAAAACCGACAGATGTGTGTGCGTGTGTGTGTGTGTGTGTTGTGTGTGTGTGTGTGTGTGTGTGTGTGTGTGTGTGTGTGTGGTGTGTGTGTGTGTGTGTGTGTGTGTGTGTGTGTGTGTGTGTGCAGGAAAGGTTTCTAAATTACCCAGCTCCTTCATAGGGTAATGTCTGTATTGTGGCTGACAAGTCTGCTACAAATTACTGCTGAACTATGAGTGTGTATCTGTGTGTATTAATGAGTGAGCGAGTAGATAAGTGTGTGTGTGTGTGTATGTGTATGTGTATGTGTGTGTGTGTGTGTGTGTGTGTGTGTGTGTGTGTGTGTGTGTGTGTGTACGAATATGGAAGTATGAGAATGATATTTGAGTGTCAAGGATGATTATGTTATTCTTCTGAATGGTCAAAACAGATCACATCACTATACCATTAAGTGAAAAGCCCGACCAATTCACAATAATGCACACACACACACACACCACACACACACACACACACACACACCACACCACACACACACACACACACCACACACACACACAACACACACACACACACACACACACACACACACACACACACCACAACCACACACACACACACACACACAACACACACCCACACACACACACACACACACACACACCACACACACACACACGACACCCACACACACACACACACACACACACCACACCCCCACACACACACACACCACACACACACACACACACACACCACAGCCATCACACTGCACACACCACACACACACACAAAAACACCTCAAATGCCATAACTCAACATACCTATATCAAATACCTCGAAGCCTTACATTTTTCCGTTCCTACAGTACTTGACAAGTATAACCCCACATAGATACTGTAAATATATATAAAAAAAACAAACCCCTTAAGGGTATACATGCATACTGTACACACACACATACACAGTGAGCCATAAACAACCCTACATTTAGCCGACAACACACTGGACTGCCCAAGCGCCGCTCAGCCAGACGCTAAACTAAACTGTCAAGTTGGATTTTCTGGCTGCTCACAATCCTTTTAAGTTCTGCTCCACATATATCATTTCCTCATTTCTGGCTTAGCCCTCTAGCCTTAATTGTGCTTTGAATCAAACTGACGTAGATATGTATTTATATACCTCCATTTAGCACCGCTGAATCAGAAAAGGTATGTATTTCTATCTATTAGTCAGACCATTTTTTTGTCAATACATTAATACTTTTAATTTAATATTTGTTTAATATTTTTGTGTTTTGTTGTAGTTTCAAATTTTGGGAAATTTGCTTCTATTCTTTATTGAAAGAAATTAGACAAAAATGATATCATTCTTATCTCTGTTTTGACTTTTAATTTGCCACATTTAATTTATGCAAACAAGTATTTTGAATGACCGGAGAGCAGTTTGTTTGTTTTATTTTTTGTTTCACATTTTAGGACATGGATTCACTTTGAGAATGCATGATATAAAATGAGATCATTAGGGATATATAATGTCCTTATAGTTTGACATTTTAATGTGTGCTAAGGCACAATGAGCACAAGAGAGGGGCAATAAAATAGGGTAACAAAATGTAATGTGAAAATTCTGTAAAGCCTGTTAAAATGTATGCCAGGTCAAATAAAAACTGGGCCCCAAGTGACCTTGATAAAAAGTAGGCAAACAAACAACGTAGCAACTTAAGTAACATACGCATACAGTGATTAGGCTGTCATGGTGACCATGATTTGTCAAGTACCACGATGTTATTCAGAGAAAGAGACTCAAGTGGAATACACTGTTAAATGATACTCTATAACAAACCAGAAACACACACACACAATCTATCACGAAAAGATATTCTCCATGATACCAAACAGATGCAAATGCTATTCTGTAAATAGAGATTTAAATGTAAACTAGTATTTTATTTTGAGATTCTAAAACTGAATTTATCAAATAAATAAATAAATAATGTACAATGTTTAACTGTGTTATCAACAAAAACACATTAAACAACCAAACATTTTAGTAAACAATCAATTTCCAAAATAACCACAGACCAAAATAGATTCTAAAAAAAGAATAACTTCCAGGGGTATTTAAGTTAGTTTTCCATAAAATACATAGATGTTTTTATAATTGAAAGTGTGTGGTCTTGCCTGTCAGCGTGTGTGTGTGTGTGTGTGTGTGTGTGTGTGTGTGTGTGTGTGTGTGTGTGTGTGTGTGTGTGTGTGTGTGTGTGTGGTGTGTGTGTGTGTGTGTGTGTGTCAGATGTTGTGTGTGCCCCTGGCCCCAGCAGCTGTGCCAAAGCAGATGTTTGCCAGTGTAATTACCACAAGCTCGCTGAGAGGAAGGGAAAAAAAATTGACAGAGAATGAAAGAGAAACACAGACAAAGAAGAAATGATAGATACATGTCCGTGATGCAAAGAGCATTCAGCTTTCACAACGCTTGTGAAACAATTAAAGGCAAACCTGATGGTTCTTCTAAGGTAGATTGATTGAGAAATTCACCTTTAGATGCACAACACAACAGCTCATGATCCCAAGCCTCTCATATTGACAGACTATGGCAAGTTTAATAGCCCAGTTGTCTCCCTTGCCCCTATAGGAATCCCAAAAACCCTCCAGATGTGTTACCTGTAGAACAAGGTGTGTCCATCTCTCCGGTGTGAGCCTCCCCTCGGTTCTGAAACTGGCGGTCAGAGGAGTCTGACTGCTGGACTGGCCATAGTGCAGGTTGACCGCCTGCTCGGACACCGTCACAGAAAAAAACAACCGCTGCCGTGAGCTCTTCTCCAGCAACAATCCTGAAGGAGACAAAAACACACATACATTTTAAGAAACACAATAATTTCAGCAGGCAATAGACCAGTCTATTTGAATATCTGTCAGTGATAAATTGTTCTAACTAAATTCAAAAGGTAAAGACAGGGATAAGTGGAATCTAAAACTCATGGAGTCGAGAGCCACCGCACAGTTTCACACACAGTCTCTCATTCTGACATTTACATTGGAATATCAATATTTTACATGACTGCTAGGTTTGAGCTGCTACACTGGGTGCAGACACACACCCTCCACATGTCATATTAACCACCATCGCCGACATTTTATGGGAAATCATGACTTTTATGAACCAAGAGCCACATACCCTATAAATCAAGGATAAATGTATGCATGGGGAAAAAAAGAGACCATATTATGTACGTATGAGTGTGAGTATGTGCCTGTAGGTAGGGATAAAGAGATATTAAGAAGGACAGAGATAATGAGTACAAGAAAAAAGTGAATACAAGTTGATGACTTACTAAAACACTGAAGTTATTGACTAAATTGTTTTTGTGCTTTCATATTCACATAAAAGCTCCGATCAACTAAGCATTGTTGTTGTTGACATATCTTAAAGGTCACCTATCATGCTATTTTTAGGCAATAGCATAGGTCTCAGATATATACAAATATATAAAAAAACATGTCTATGAAGTGTTTTGCTCAAAATACCAAACAGATCACCCATTCTAGCCATGCCTCATATCCCTCTATTTCACTTCCTGTTTCAAAAGTGCTGATTCTGGGTATAAAGCTTTAAAAAAAAAAAAAAATTGATAAAAAAGGAGGGGGCTGAGCTCATGCGGGACCCGGCAGCTACTGTCTAAACTAAATACTGCCGTGATGAAACGCCATATCATGGATTATCAAGGATTATTTCTGAAACAGTACTGAGCTCAAAGGCTTTCTCTCTTGCCGGTTATACCACAAGGTGAGTTCCTTTTTATTTCCTGCTTCTTCACACACATGATCTCCAGTACAGGTTAGCTCTGAGTGTTAGCGATGCTAATGTTAACACCGACCATATTACGTCCAAAACAGTCGGGCAATGTTTCTGATAGCAACTTTCTGATAGGGCCGCGGGTCCACATTTCCGATATTACGTCATATCGGACGCAAATCTGGATCAGCTCCGTTGTAGCCCCGTTTTTAGAGATTTGGTTACGGTGGAAAAGAGAGAGGGTTTTATTTTCTGACGCTGCGTGAGTTCCCTGACACACCGGGGACACATATTTATGTATAAAAGACATAAAAGTGCATTTTGCATAATAAGTCCCCTTTAAGTTTTTGTTTTGACACAAACCCAAAAATGTACATTTCTCCACCAAAGAAAACAAGCAAAACAGATATTTTAGAAGCTTGAACCAGCAAACTTTTGGCATCTTTGCTTAAAAAATGTATGCTTACTTGATCCATTGTAAAAATTATTCAAGCAGAAAAAGTAGTCATTATGTTGCTAGGGCAATTTAATGTGATAGTTGGGCAAAATATGCATTGTTAAACACTGTTTTCAAATAAACTATGATAATTATGATATGTACTTGTACTTCATCCACATGTTCTCCATAGAGAAAAGTCAACTGCATGTACTCAGAATAATTCACGATTTAAAATGAGTACCCTCAAAAAATATAGGTGTAACCTTATGGAAGTGTAGCCATGGTGAAGTAAAAACTATATTTGTAAGAACAGGTGGCTGGCTCTGTTCATTGTTCAGATGAGGAGAGGGATGTGAAATCACACAGAGAGGGAGAGACAAAGAGAGAGGGGTGAGGAGAGATGGACAGAGGTGAGGATAGAGACCTCCTTTCATCTGGCTTCTTTGATGGCAGCCATGATCGTCTCTACAACAAAAGACTGATGGCCAACGACAGCTACAGAAAGATAGAGAGTGGCGAGGGGGAGATATTCCTCCATTCAGATGCATTCAGGTGCATAAAGGTGTCATGTTCAGCAAACCAAGACAACAAGACCAGTCTGTCATCTGAATCCCTACAGACAACTTCACAAACAAAATCCCAGCATGAATTTAAAAGGAGGGATTTATCTCTGTCTGAATCTCCTTCTCAGAGTTAAATCTAACTGAGGCCAACATTTAAACTGAACATTCAGTGAGTTATTAGAATACACGCCAAACCTGTTTAGCGTTGCTTTAGGTCTTTTTTCAGAATTGTCACTACTGCAAAGCTTTCAGTGACGTTAATCTTTGCAGCACATCATGGAACATGTGAATGCTGCAGGCTTTATTTACGTTGTCTAACCATTTCTGATTATATTAAGAGAAAGCCTGGGTCATTTTAGTTCATCCTTTTTATAACAACAGCCACATTAATTATACTGATTTTACACATTCAAGTCTGTTTCAAGTCTTGTGGAGTAGTACTGCAAATACTTAACTAGTGTAAACTGTCAACGATCGAGTTGCATTGTGGGTAATGTAGGTCCCAGGTTTCATTAAGGGGATGCATACAATTAAAAAGATATTGAAGCAATCTGAGTCCATTTTGATCCTTTTACTTTTTAAGTGTCCATTGTGAGTCTAACAATGTTATAGGAGTCCAGTTGTATAATTGTGAAGTAATCTTTTGCTAGTCACATTTTCAAATAGTAAACCAGGAAATATAAACCAAGACGTCATGTATGTTTAGCTTATTTAAGTTTCATGACAAAGCATCCCATGTTGTTTGCACAATCTACTTTAAATGTAAGTGTTGCTGTGTGCTGGAGGTGGATATGAGCTTGCCAAGTAAAGCCAACTGATCCCTGTTTGTGCGTGCAGTGCTTTGTGTATGCGTGTGTTTGAGTGTGACTGCAAGCTGATCTGAGTGTGTGTAACTCTGCACCATCAGAGTCCTACCTGCAACATACCAGCACACTTCATCCCCTGTCTCTCACACACAACATGTCTAAGTAGGACATGACAGATAGTGATTAGTCAACATCTCTGGAAAGTGATACTGACCTGACCTGATTGCTCCTTGTGTTTAGATCAACATCACAGGACTTTCACTTCAATGCACTTTTTAAGTTTGGAAGCCATATAAGATAATATATCAGAACATACATTTGACTATACAATATGTATACTATATCCCTCTCCTCTGTCATCATCCTTCTGGACCTGTCTGCTGCATTCGACACAGTGAATCATCAGATCCTCCTTCGCACTCTCCAAGCACTTGGAGTTTCAGGCTCTGCACTTTCCCTCCTCACCTCATACCTCAAAGACCCGCACCTACAGGGATTACTTGAGAGGGTCCGAGTCCGACCCTTGTCATTAACTACAGGGGTCCCTCAGGGCTCTGTTCTGGTCCCCTCCTCTTCTCCTTGTACACAAACTCGCTCGGATCAGTCATTAGCCCGCATGGTTTTTCATACCACTGCTACGCTGACGACACCCAATTAATTCTGTCCTTTCCCCGCTCAGAGACCCAGTCGTCGCACGCATCTCTGCTTGTTCTAGCTGACATCTCTCAGTGGATGTTCCTGATCATCACCTCAAGCTCAACCTTGACAAGACTGAACTGCTTTTCCTTCCGGGAAAAGATTGTCCCACTCTTGACCTAACAATCAACATTGGCACTCTGTTGTTTCCCCGACTCAGACTGCAAGGAATCTGGGTGTGACCCTAGATAAACAAACTGTCCTTCACTGCAAATAGCTGCTACAACCCGCTGCTGCAGATACACGCTTTACAACATCAGGAGGTTGCGTCCCCAGCTGACCCAGAAAGCGACGCAGGTTCTGGTCCAGGCTCTCGTTATCTCACGCCTAGACTACTGCAACTCCCTCCTGGTGGTCTACCTGCATTGTGCCATCCGACCTCTGAAGCTCATCCAGAATGCAGCTGCTCGCCTGGTCTTCAACCTTCCTAAATGTTCCCCACACCACGCCGCCTCCTCCGCTCCCTCACTGGCTTCCGATAACTGTTAGAATCCACCTTCAAGACAATGGTACTTGCGTACCATGCTGCGAATGGATCTGGCCCTTCCTACATCCAGGACATGGTTAAACCGTACACCCCAGCACGTGCACTCCACTCTGCATCAACCAAACGGCTCGCTGCACCCTCGCTGCGAAGGGGACCCAAGTTCCCATCAGCAAAACACGTGGGTTTGCTATCCTGGCTCCTAAATGGTGGAATGAGCTCCCCATTGACATCAGGACAGCAGATAGCTTACACACCTTCCGGCGCAGACTGAAAACTCATCTCTTTCGACTCCACTTCGAGCGATAGAACTATTAACAAAGCACTTATATACTAATAAAGGACTGGCTTATCTAAAGCCAGTTGAGTAGCACTTGAAATGTTTTTAGCTCTATGAAACCTGATGTACTTATATGATTCTGTTTTCTTCAAGTTTGTATTTTGTTGGTCGAACGCACTTATTGTAAGTCACTTTGGATAAAAGCATCAGCTAAATGCAATGTAATGTAATGTAATGTAATGTAATGTAATGTAATGTAATGTAATGTAATATCCTGTGTAATGTACTTAAAACGACTGAATCTGATCCCTGCATTGTTTTTTTTGTCTATTTTATCTTTTCATTACTTAATCTTCACCCAAGTACAATTTCTACAAGAAGTATAACTTATCAATTAACTTACTGATTGAAATGCAATGGGAGATTGTTTCCAAACAGCCTCTAACAAACATGATGTTACTGTTAGTGTAGCTCATATGGCGCATTTCCACTATACGGCCTCGCTCGGCCTCGTTAGGACTGGCTCACTTTATGGCGCATTTCCTTTAAGGTTTAGGAACTGGGGTAGTATCTATAGTAACGCAGTGTAGGCGGAGCCGTGACGTCATCTTCAATGAGAACCCCAGAAAAACAACACAGCCGTTAGCTGTTAGCCCACAGAGCTCACAGCTCCTCATATCTATTCAGAAACTAGACAAAAGTTAAACAAGTACAAACCACAGACTGTCTGTGTCATGGCGAATACAGTCGCTGGTTTATTTATGTCTGTATACGCCGTTGTTGTGAGTGTGGACGGTCGGAGCATATACTGCGTTAGCTTAGCCAATCTCCATTCAGAAAACACGCATTTTAAAAAGGTTTTTCGCCTGCCGTCTGTCTGCAGACTTGTCAAAGCATTAATTCATGGTTTTTACTAACTAGTGGCTGGGCCAAATGAAACTGCAAATCCAGACTTTTTCAAAAAGATCTGAATATATCTATTGGTTTTCTATAATACTTATCCATGGCTAATATGGAATTTCATGTTTGAAAGAATCACACGTTCATCAAAATCTGGTTGTAATGTACTGCTGTTAAATATCTTGACTTTTCTTCTTTGCACAAAATGAAATATATATATTATTTAGGGCAACAGCAAATGTACTTCTGCTTGTTTTGAGTTTGCTGGACTGTCCAGAGAGAAATAGTTAGTTTAGATCCATCCATCCAAAAAGGATATACATCTTTTGTATTGCCAAGTACAATTTGTGTGTACTGTAACATGACATTGGTAATCTATCGATTCAAAAATCCTCAGCAGTACATTATTTATTATATTAAAAGAAACGCTCATACAGTATATCTAACTATGCAACAAAAAGATAAATGTGATTTCTTATAAATTACAAAAAGTAACTCACATCTCTCCAGAAGAGCTTGGTTTGATCCACAATGCCAGGGTGAGAGAACCCAAGGCTCCTAGTTTCTGTGAGGGGGGGGACACCAGACATCCATCCTGGACGGGCCGAAACAGCACAGAACTGGATCCACCAGGAACTCCCTCTGAACTGTTATTGGTTCTGTTCTCCGTCTCTGTCCCGGGGCGAGTGCCATTTCTGTCTTGAGTCACACAGGAACCCCTGGAAAATAAAAATGTCATGTCTATAATCTTTTTTTCTCTAAAAGGTCCTCTTTTATTTATTTTTATTTTGCATAAACTGAAAGGTGGGAGGACATTTAAAACACCTTGATAGAATGACAATGAATTTGATCTATCTACCTGTGTGCAGGCAGTAGCAGCGGGGCATAGGGAGGTGTGGAGGATCTGTAGGGACAGTCCTGGACACAGAAGGCCTGATAACATGTCGTCAGCTCAGGCTGGGAGGACGGCGTCTGACAGTAGCTGCTCCGCTCTGGAACTCCACAGGTGGAGCGGGGCGGAGAGGTGGACACGGGTTTAAAGGCGGCAAGGTTCTCCATACGTGGGAAATGTCCCTAAGAATAAAAGACCATTTCAAAATTAGTATCATTCCACTCAAGCTAAGTCTCTTTTACTTACAGTATTTGTGAAGGCATTAAATTACCTGCAATAAAGGCATTTTAGCAATTTAGAGAATTAACATGGATTATGGACTATGATAACATTATGATATAGCATAACATATCTTACACGCAAATATTTTACCGTAACACATACTGTATGTACACAGTGTTATGAAAAAGGCCTTTTTGTTGGTCATCAAATAATAAATACAATACAGAGTGTTAACAATTAGTATTCCAGTTTTTGATCATACATTTCAATTGGCTCTTGCAAGCTTACCTGTGAGGAAGCAGGTTTTGGACACAGGCTGAAGAGGAGGAGAGTAAACCAGAGGAAGATATTATGCCATCTTATCCTTTTCATGGTGGCTTTTCCTCTTTCTGTGATGTTTTTCAGGTAAAATGGCCAAGAAAAACCACACCACCTCTTCGTTTCCCCCAAGCTTTTTTCCACTTGCTTGATTTCAGTGTTTCTGGTTAACATAACATGAGGAATACCCGACGCATTTGTCCCTTTTCTGTCCTCTCCTTCGATGTATTTTCCTCCAACTTCCTTGATGCATTTGTTCCTATTAAAGTCAAACTGCTCCTCTCTCCATCTTCTCTCCATCCTCTCTCGGCTGACTCCTGTGCGCCATGTTTGTCTCTTCCTTTTTGCCTTCTCTCCCGCCACTCCTCCCTCGTTGTCTCTCTGATCTATCCATCTCTGGCCTTTGACCCCACAATATTCTAGAGTGGGGTTCTCCAAGGGGTCCAGCATAGTCCGATGTTCTCCAATCTTGGACAGGGTTTCTGGAACATTCCCCAGGGCAGAGGGATGTTCCAGAACTTGGATTTTTTTCGGAAACCTTCCAGCAGCGCTTGAATAAGTGATGACTGTCATGGTTTCATGGTTCCAGGGTTACAGGGAAAAAATGTTACAGGCCAGTGCCCCTAGGGTGAGGCTACGAAGCTTAGCTCTCTGTTACACTGTCTCCGTCCCTCCCTCGCTCACACACACACCCACACACAAACCACAACCAAAGCCTTCACATGATAGATTTCACAATCTAGAGAGGGAAAGGAGAGAAGGAGAGAAGGAAAGAGAGACGTGGTCAGACCAAAATCCAACAAGAGACAAATCTGAGGAGAGTGAAATGCCATGCAGGCTATTCCCTAGCCAAAGCCTACACTTGTACAGCTTGATGGAGGCACAGCTCAACTGATACTGCTACATTGCTTTCCTCTTTTCTTCATTTTCCATTGAATTAAACATGCCTTTTTTTCCTCTAGCATCTGGCCTCCAGGTTTTTATCCAACTGAACGGGTTTTCACATAAGTTTGTTGGAAATTGAGGCTTATGCCAAAGCTCTCTTCATTACAATACTTATCAGCTTCAATTTCACATTTTGACACACAAAAAGAGGCCAGCAGTGAAGTCATCTCTAGTGTTGAATTACTTAGACCCTTCTGCCTGTCCGTTGGAAAATAAGAAAGCACCTCTTGTATCTAATAATAACAGGGGCTATAGCCGTACAATGTGTAAATGCAGATATTGTGATATGCATAAATATGTAGTGGTTACCTGTCGGTGGAGCTTCCCAGCAGCACAGAGCTCTATTCCCACCACAGCGTCAACAAACAACTTGTTGCTCATGGTGCAAAACAAGCTAACTACCTGTTTCTGTCATCGATAGCAGACGCCGCTCCAGTAGAAAAAATAGTCCTTTCCAAACATGATTTCAGTTATTTGGTCCGTCGTTCAATCCCACTTCGACAGAAAAACTGAATGACAGATCAGCTGAACTTGTCAAAGTCTCCCCTTGTTGCCTCTCTTTCGTACTTCTCTCATTCAAACATGCAGCACGCGGTGTTAAGGAGATTACTGCGAGTCGCCATCTGGCCAGCAGCGTTGGAGGGCGGCAGGATACTGGGTGCAAAGTAAGGAACGGTGAGGCGACGTTACAGAGTTGAGAGCCAGGTAACGAGAACTTGAGAGCCCAGGGAACGGCGGGAGAGAAAACACTGCGACATATCCGTTTTGCATCTGTTACAGACCACTAACGAAGTGTCTATGACAGCAAGGCATTAACATGCAATTTACAAAGCTTAATAATACCCCCTGCCTGGCAGTAATGCTGTACCCCCTCCTACGTGGGATGCGTCTGGGTTTCAGACAAGTGGCTCTCAGAGAAATGAGGAACGCTACTGCCGTTGCTAGGCAACGGTGATCCTCTCCGGCCAAAGACAGTGTGAGGAGGAGATCATAAAATATCTGTCAATACAAAATTAAAAAATAAATAGGCTACTTCATCGCCATGTAGGGGTGCAATGTATAATGTCACTGACGACAGTGCTTTTAACACATAGGCTATTATGCAAGACTGTCCAATTCATGTTTTAATAATCTGCACTTTAAAGTAATGGAGCTAAACCAACTCCAAATAAAGCTTTGTTGCCTATTTTGTTTTATTGTTTTATTAAGCTTGTATAAGCAAGAGAGAAACAAGAAAACAAGAAACAAGAATCTTTTTGGCACCGATGAACCAAAGGAACAATTTGCATAAAAACAAGAAAAAAAACAAAAACAAGATTCAACCATAACATGTTAACATTGAGAACAAACACCCCATTTCACAGCACAAAACCAAGGGAAATGAATTGCATTGTGTTTTTTTTCTACAAAACAAAACAAATCTATACATTTCAAAGGGGGGAATGTTCAGCTGAACTGAAATCAAGTCAAAGCTCAGTATACTGATGGCCCCTGTAGGCCAGGCTGCTGAAACAAACAGTCACACATAGCTAAAATGAAAGACGCTCATTTTAAAGAATATTTCAAAGGGGGTACTTTACTATGCAGGATTTCCATAATGAGAGGCAAATGAGCTGGCAAGGTGTCTTTCCTTGTCAGCAGTTTAATGGCAGTCACCAGGGAGGCACTGCTATGTGTGCTATAAATTGGGTCTTGATAACAATTAACCACACATTACTAATTACAGTACATGTCTGTGAAGAGATGTATGTATGAAGTGACACAACTAGTAGGCCTTGCGTTATGGTTGATGCTTATTTTTTAATATATTAGTCTGAATTTGGCTGTTTGTGTGAAAATCCATATAATCAAATGTATTTACAAAAATTATATATAAACAAGAGAAACATATAACCATTAAATCTCATGCGTCTAATATACTTGACCTGACCTTTATTTCCTTTGTTTTACTTCAGTTGTATAACACAACTGATTTCAAGCAAATATCTGGTAACCCGCCAGTTACATGCATCAATCCTCTAGTTTCATCAAGCTGAACATCCGGTAGCAAATATAAACAATCCCATCAACACACACAAAGCAGAAGCACTAGCTCAAGTCGTTTAGACTTCCACTGTGTGCTCAAGCGCTCAGAATTTAAATTGTGTAAAACATTTCCACCAAAAAAGGCCCTCTCTTATATTTTTCCCTGCCGACAAGTTTTAACGTTATCATACTAATCGCGTTTGAACAGCTGCAATTTGCTTTGGTTGAACAAAGGCATCTAACTAGGTTTTAATTAAGTGTTCCTAATGACCTTAAGGAGATTAGAGGTTCACCTTCTAATCAATACTAGGCAGAGAGGAGCAAAGGGAGGGGAGAGGAGGAGAGGGGAGGTGGCTAGGGGCTAGGATAGAGGTAGGAAAGACAGAGGTGGAGAAGGGGAGTAAATAGTAAAAGAAAACTAGGGGAGGAGAGAAGAGGAAGTGGATTAAGAATAAAAAGGATTTAATCAGAAATATTGTTAAAAAATAAATACACAAGAACCTTATACATATTCATTTGAAAAAGAATACAAATAAGTAATGAGTGCAGATTGTGACCGGCTTTCTTCAGTGGCTAACAACATTAGTATATTTTAAATGCTTGTTGGCATCAATAAAACAAGCAAGTGACGGAGAGGGGCAAGCCCAGCTCTACAAAAGCAAATAATTCACATATACAACTAGATAAAGAAGTTTGTAAACCCTACCTTTTTATATTAGTAGCCACATTTTCCTCATTTTATTTCCCTTTCCTCTGAGAGGGTGAAAATGACATCGCTCCACTGTGTCAGATAGAGGCTATGATCATCAAGAGCTTTTGTTATCCAAGAAGAGTTTCTCTTATCCCCTCCTCATAAGACATTTGCATAGATTTGCACAGAGTGTGTCCACATGACAGAGAATCTAGTCATACATTGATGTACTAATTTATTCAGCCGGGCACATTCAATTCCAGAGATTGAAGTGCTATCACACAAACGGGATTAAAACCGGATGACGATCGCACAATTAATATTGTCTCATTTTCTAAATTACTTATGTATGACTTATATTTGACTAAATTGTGTTTGCTGGTCTAATAACATTAAGGGTAATATGGTAAATGTGGGCTGTAAATGTATTGTCTCTGTGAGTCTCCAGAGCAGCATGAATATGTATGGAGACATCCTTGGCCTCGCTGCTGATTACAAGAAGTGGAATAAATTGATGGTAGGGCTGTGTGTTTTTTTAGCAAAATACAATATTAGGTTCTCCATATGGAAATGTTATACACACATGCCACGGCACCAGGCACACAGGCACACAGGCACACAGGACACACACACACACACACACACCACCACACACACACACACACACACACACACACACACACACACACACACACACACATACCGTTTTTTAGGCCTGATTCAAGAGCATTACTTAAATAACAGCATAGTGTTGAGTGCAGGCTCGTGGCTGCCATTGATTTCAGTTTTCTTTGTGTGTGTGCACATGTGTTTGTGAAAGTAAATTAGCATGTTTACATACTGTATGTGCATGAGGCTTACCGTGAATCGTGGAGCTTTTGTCTAAAGTAAAACAAATGTTTTGTCTATATTCAGTTTTTTTCACCAAAATGTATTGTGTATACCCCTGAGGTCAAATACACCTTAATACATGCTCTAACATATTCTGTACACTGTTCTAGATTTAAATATATAAATATGGAATATTTCTCATTCAATTCGGAACTTAGTTTCAAGTAAAATTATGGAGGAAACATTTTATTTTTTTTTACACACACAGAGTAGTGTGATGAAGTCAATTATTTAATTTAACTGGATTCCAGTTTGCGATTGGCATTGAGTATGAAGTTTAATTTAAAAACAAAACCATAATCTTCAAATTATATTTCCTTGATTTGTTTCTTACTTATGTATGTGCTTGTATATTTCAGCTTTTTTTTAAAACATTATAGTGTATCATGATATCTGGATATATGATTTAATCTCGATACGATTCCAAGGCATAAATTATCATAATGCCAGCTCACAAAAAAAATCATGAGAGGAGCTTTACCCTGCAAAAGTTATATTAATACTGTATTCAGTATCCAGGCCTTATGCCCTGTAGGCCGTGATACTAATAAAGAGAACCACATGACTGAAATCTGAAACACTTCGGCAGCGCTTTCGGATCCAGCAGCACTATGACTGCTCGAAACATTCCCTTAACTTCCTTATTCACACAAAAACTGGAATAGGCAACATTTCTCACATCCGTCTTCATACTGTAGCCTATAGTCTATCGTTCACATTTTATTTACACTAGCTTGCATCAAATATGCATAAACATCAAATCTCACAAACACCGAAGCAAAATGCTTAATTGGCAACTGCTGACTGAAGACGTACACTGCTGTGCTGGTGTAAGGTTTATTTAGGCTATCTCTTCCATTTTCCTCTGCCACTTGCGTCATCCTGCTGTCTAAACTCTATTTTGGTCACTTCTGTCCTCCACTCTCTCCCACACATCCCTCTCTCCACAGGCACCACTCATTCTTTCTTTCATTCACTCCCTTCTCCCCTCCCCATGCCCTCAATCCCTCTTACATTCTCCATTCTCCATCACTGCTCCTCTCTAAATGTCCTTTTCTTTCTTGTCCTTGTTTTATGCAGCATTTTCTATAAATAGATATATATATATAAATAGATATATATATATATATAAATATATATGAATCCACGTTCATCATTTATCCTCCTTGGCTCTAAATGAAATGTGAGAGAAACTAGATATAAAAACAATTTGGATTTCCTTTGCTTTACAGATTTTATACCCTTAAGTTATAGGGTCCATATGTGTGAGTGTGTGTGTGTGTGTGAGTGTGTGTGTGTGTGTGTGCGCACACTTCCTGCCCCCTATTGGGGTTGAGGCCAGTGACACCCTCAGGGCTGTGCTGTCCAATCCCCTTCATGCTGCGCTTCTATAGGATTGAATTAACCTCCTGCCTCTCTTGACAATGCACATACACATAATCATCCCGTCTCACACACACACACACACTTTGTCTATGCCAATCACCTTTCCCCTGTCAGATTTATTATTAGCTATGGGCACTTTTGCAACTATTATCAGTGAGATTCACCCATGGGAATCAACCTACTAAATGCACAGAATTTGTTTATTTATTTAGCTTTAAAAAAAACAAAAACCCGAATACTATAGGTCTAGTACTGTAAGTAATGAAAAAATCGAAGTTCGGCTTGCTGTAACTTTCTGCTGCACTGATCGATATCTGAGCGCTAAAGGGTAGAATTTAGAGGAGCACAACACATTTAAAAGTAAATGTACAGCTAAGCCAATGTCTTGCAGTTAACATTTGCCACCAGAAATTCTGAATTTACTTATGTTAAGGTATTTTTGGATTAAGCAGACAAAATACTTCATGGCACAAACATAGTTTCATTGCCCTTAAAACACTAGTGGTCAGCAAAAACGACATTTTAAAAATATTTACAATCGTTTAAGGATCAGGAAAGAGTCTCGACCAATAAATGGTTTGGGTTTGATAAACCAATCAACTGTATGTGTTAAATCATATATATTGTACCTGTTTGTTTTTTCTCAAAACTGAAGTGATGAATGATAACAAGCCTTAATCTTTCCTTGATTAAACCAACTAATTTGTTAATGTTAATTTGATCTAGTATTTGATTTCCCTCAGTGTACAACCTACATGTGGTACAGGTATAATATGAATGTGTTTATTTTACTCACTATTTTAATACACGTTTGAAA